ATCATTTTTCTTCTTCCCAATGCCACTGATGGCCATTGCTGGAGATTTTGCACCTCCATTTCATTCTCCTTCTTCCTTTCTTAGCCATTCAAGAAATTCCCTTGTGTTAAAAACCACAAAGAGTGGCTAACTTGTTTTCTTTTCCTAGTTGAGATTTAATAAACTCTAGTAATGTATTTGTGAGATCGAATTGGTTTAATCTATATTTTATTTAAATCTTGGTATTTATTTATTTTATTCATCTATACATATTTGCGGTCTTGAACTCGTTTGAATAGACCTCGTTGATTGTTGGAAAGGCAACAAACAACTAGCCGAACCCCTCAAATCCGTAATTGTTTGAGTGGTTCCGACACCTAGTAACGATCAGTGTTGTACTGAGGAGATAAATAATCGGGTTGATCGGTTCACACGAATGAATCCGCAACTTGAATCAAGCTCTTCTAGTTCTTAAAACTGTTGACAAGTTAAATCCTGTGAACGTTCCTAGAACTGTTTGACAACAGAAAATCAACTAATGAACGTTTCTTGGTTGTTTTAGAAATAAGAAAGAATTGGTTGTCGGAACGTTTCTGATAACTATAATTAGTTTGCTGTAGTTTAAATAAAATAAGTTATTGCATCTATAATCAATTACGTTATTGAAGTTAGCTATTTTATCGACTAGAAATTCTTCTTATAACTGTTTTAGTTTCTAATTTGTAACCAAGAGTTTGTTTAAAATTATTCTGCTTATTGTTTATTTTATATTTTACGTATTGAATTCTACAAATTCTCCCTCCCCTTTGTCTGATATTCCCTTATCAGTCAAGGAAGAAAATTAGTTTCCATTCCCTATGGATTTGATCCTACTTACCACTATTACAATCTTATTTTATTGGTTAAATAAGAATTTGTTTTTCGTGAATTCGACACTCATCATGTATATATTAGTTGTATTATTATTTGTGCAGATTTACTACTTAATTATTAAAATGTAAGAATTTTTACTACAAGATTTATCAAAGTACAGATACAAATGAAGAAATCTACTTGTCCATTACTAGTAAATCCTAAAACACAGTAATCACTTCTGCAAATTTCTTGGCATGATAGGCTAATCTACGGATAACATTTTGGCCACCATCTTTATGAAGCATGCTCCACCTGGTTTAGGTTCTTTATCACGTTTCAGAAGGTCAAGAACAAAAACTAGAATCATGCTATGCCATAAGAGCATCAATTTTGATTCCCATACTTGCCACTAACATGAGAACAATAAACAACATTATTAAATCCTACTATCCAATCAATAATCATGAGCAAAATAAGAAACACCACCAGAACTCTGCAAGATCTTGAGAAATTTTATCTAGATTGGATTAAACATCATAAATTTCCATCAACAAACATCCTTCACTGTTATATGCCCATTAATCATAAAGTCTAGATTATGCATGCACAAACTGTAATTTCTAAAGTAGCATTTTTGGCAATATAATAGTAAACATACTCTATTTAGTACATAAAAATATTTGTTATTTCATCTTTGTGTATTAAATTTATATATTTTCAAGGAAATCTTATTAAGGGACAACTTGTATTGTACCTCCACCTGGTCATGGTAATTACAAGGCATGTGATAACATGATCAACATTAAGAAAAAAGCTCATGGTCTTGAAGACATATATAATTGCATATAGTACATGTTCTGGCTTCAGATTACCTTCAATATCTATTGTGCAGGATAATGACTACTTACAGTGTCACCAATGCTTGAAGTACTGATAAAGTGGCTGCAATTTTTTCAAAAGATATTTGGGAATTATTGCACAATTTCTCTCACCTCATACTCATGGGAAATTCTAAGAGCTGACTGACTTGAAACAGGCCTTTCTTCAGACCACAACTCTAAGTTAACTGTGCCAGTTCCCCAGTGGATGAAACACTTGAAAACCTCACCAACATTAAATCGATTGACCAATCCCAGGCCAAGACGCTTATCAATGAGCATCCATTCACCTGAAATGAGAATTCATTTATGGAATCAATTTCCAAGTTGAGGTTACCACTCCATGCACAAACATAGAACTTTCAAAATTTCTAATTTTATCATGGCGGGAAACTATTTAGCATACAGGGTTTATAGTAATTGCAAATTTTACGAAGGCTGAATAAACATAATTCGCATAAGAGATATATAAAGAAACCTAACTAGAAGAGATCCATTATGTTATGACCTTTTGACAACTACAGCTTTAAGAGTTAAATAATATGTGGATATGTTTTGATCTACCAGACTAGTAATCAGTAGGACCAACAAATTCCCTACATATGGGAGGCCATATCCCTATCTCCTACGAACTCTAATCAGTTAATCTCATCAAATGAGTAATGACTGCTTTTGTTATTAGAGAATGAAATTTAGTTACCAAAAAGCATCAATCCTTTCTACCAAAATTAGGTGCGAGGTATGTCTCTCTCAGCTGATTTCACATTCTAAATCATATTTTCGGTTACTACGTAAGATTCTGTTACAGAATTTTGATTAATATTATAGGCCCATTAAGAGAAAATCCAAAAATTCCTCAAGTTAAAGCACTTAAGGAGCTTCAAGACAGTTTTTCTGCATATCTTTTAATTAGATTGCCATTCAATTTTTATACAGTAAAACACAATTGCTCCCAAAATAATAGCTTTTGTTGGAAAGAAATATTGGCACACTAATCCTAATAATTAATTTATATCATTAAATAAAACTAATAACTTAGTAAAATGTAGCTCTAGGGATTGATTCAAGAATTTTTCCTCTTATTTTATAAAATTTATGTACAACCTTGTTCATAACAAAAGGAGAATCCAATTGTCATGAAAATTACATTAAATTGGGAAAATAAAGATAAAGTGGCAGATTAATAGGGACATTTGTACCGACCTCCAACTCTCTTTTTATTCCTTAATAAGCTAGACTTCCTAATTACTGCAGCAAGATTCCTGAAAATCAGGGATCAGATATTACTACACTTTCCCTCAAGCTAGATATAGATGTTGATGAAGCCAAAGTTGGGGCTCAAGTCTTCAAAGCTCTGTCTCGGTAATGCTTTGGTAAGGATATCTGTAATTTGTTGGCTTGTAGGCGTGTGTAGCAGATTAATGGTCTCATTCTCTATCTTCTCTTTTAGGAAATAGCGATCTATCTCTGTATTTTTCGTTCAACCATGATTCTTAACTATGTTGTTAGTTGACTGATTATCACAAAATACCTTTACCAGATATGCAGTATCAATTCTTAATTCATGCAATAGCTGTTCCAACCATATACGTTTACCAATACCAACTGTCATAGCCCAGAACTCTGCATCAGTATTGTGTTAAGAGACTACTGGTTGTTTCTTGCTTCACCATGCTATGCGATTTCCCCACTTGTAAGTGCAATATCCAGAGGTAGACCTCCCATCAGTTATTTATCCAGTCCAAGCGGCACCAATTAATACTTCAATATCTCTCATTACTTTTTCCAAAGTCTTAACCCTTTTCCTGGTGTCATTTTCAGATATATCAGTATTTGATTAACAACTCCTGTATATTCTTCAGTTGGTTCATTAATAAACTGGCTTACTACATTGACATCGAATCAAATATCCAGCCTAGTGTATGAGAGATAAATCAGCTTCCCCACAATTCTTTCAAAACACTATCCTTTTTTGATTGAAGTTTAGTACTTGAGCCTATAGGTGTTCCAACTGACATACATCCAAGCATTCCTGTCTTCTTAAGAAGATCCAGTACCTATTTTCATTGTAATATTGAGATTTTTTTTTTAATCAAAGAAAATATTTTAGACTTCTAAGATCCTTAGTTTTGAACTTGTTGGCAAGTAAGGTCTTATCGATTCATCTTCGTTGTCACCTATTAGGATGATATCATCCATGTATACAATAAGGATTGTCTATTTTCATTCAGATGAATGTTTGACAAATAGTGTGTCATCTTTTTGGCATGTAAATACCTATACTTCTTTATCGTCCGATGGAATATGTCAAACCATGCTTTTGGACATTGTTTTAGTATATAAAGTGATTTCTTGAGTCCGAATACCTTATTCATGGTGGCATTAGTTTTAAATCTAAGAGAAATATCTATGTAGACTTCTTCTATAAGATCATTGTTGAGGAATGCATTCTTGACATCAACTTAGTGTAAATGCTAGTCAAGATTGGTAGCCATTGAGAGCAGTATTCGAACAGTATTCAATTTGGCTACTAGAATCTCTTGGTAGTCAATACCATAGGATTATGTGAACCCTTTAGCAACCAGTTTTGCTTAAAATCTGTCAACACTACCATCAGCCTTGTATTTGACCATAAAATCCATTTACATCCACTGGTTGTTTCCTGCTTGGTAACTCTGACATTTCTCACATTCCATTCTTCTTTGATGCCTTCATTTCTTCCCACATTGCAGTTATCCAGTCCGGAACAATCATGTCCTCTAGGATGGAGTTGGGAATCTGTACTTCGTTCATATTTGCTACAAACATCTGAATACTTACTGATAGTCCTTTATAAAAAACAAAATTGTAAACTGGATGACCAGTACAAGACTGCACTTCTTTTCCCAGAGCAATAGGATGATCAAGATAATTGATAATAAATTCATTCATGGTGTTCTCAGAGCTAATGTTACCTTGTAAAGTCTCATAGCTACATCATTCAGGTCAAATTATTGACTTCGTCCAAAGGTGCTTGTTCTAAATCCTCTTGAATATTCTTCCTTTGAGAATATACAATGAACTCACTATTGTTTGCAGGCTTCAGACACAGGTTCGAGTTTGAAATATGTGCAACATTTGTTTTTATTTGGTGACTTGATCTTCGGTAAAAGCAGTAATAGTGATGGGAGGAACAGTGACTTGTGGATTTGGATGACATAAGGTATCAATATTCCAAAGTTGGGATTCTTGTATTACATACTCCCCTTGAATAGTAGCTTGGGAGTAATATGGTTCATGTTCAAAGAAGGTGACATCCACCAAGGTGTAGAATCATGTGTGATTAGGAAGTCATAGATATAGCACTTTTAGTTTGGGGAGTAGTTGAGAAATAAGCACTCGATTACTTTGAGGTCAAGTTTGCTTCTATGTTGTTCATGGATGTGAACAAACATGAAGCATCCAAATAGTTTGAGTGGTATTCTGGAGATAAGCTAGGTTTCGAATGAGAGAGGAGTAGTAATTGACATGGTATCTGGAAGTTAAGGATACAGGGAGGTATTCAGTTTATGCGAAAATTTGTTGTTAGTATGCTTCCTCCCAGAGCTGCTCTAGGACATGTTAGAAAACATGATTGATTTGACAACATCTAGAATATGTTTATTTTTTCTTTCAGCTACTTCATTTTTTTCGAGTAGTATTGACACATGAACTTTGACGTATAATGTTTTGACTGTGTAATAGTCTCCCTAAAAAGTGTTTGAAGTATTTTTTGATATTATTTAGTCTGAAATATTTGTATCTTGGTTTGGAATTTGGTCTAAATCATAATGTTGAAGTTCTTGAAGATTTGCCCAGCTTTTAATTTTTCTTTCATTAGAAACACCAAGATAATTCTAGTGTGATCATCTACAAACAAAACAAATCATTGAGTTCCCATAATATTTTTAACTTATGATGGTCTCCAGACGTATACACATAAAAACACACACACACATATACATTTGAAGTGAAAAGCTTTATCTTTCAACATGCAATTGACATAAATTATATCAAATCAAAAGGAAAAAGTCATACCATTAGGCAAACAATTCCCTGCATACAACTGCTCTCCAGATTCTGGCCAAATTTCATGCTTAGATCCATCAATTGACGTGAAGAAGACGAAAGATTCTGTGGGGTGCATGAGGGTGAATGTTGGATGTACTCTCAAGCAAACCAACCTGTAACATGAAATAATTGATGACAAAGAATTAATGATTAACCAGAAAGGTTATGTGTGGGAGTGTGTTTGTGTTTAATATACAGCTACTGTGAATAAGTTATTAAGGAAATATAAGGCGTCCATGAGTCCTTAGAGACACCAAGGCACACACGTAAGTTATCAGCTACAACACTATGGAATAACTTATGGATGGCTTTGCAAGTATAATAACTATTTTACAGTGATTCAAGATTGTCTGTATCTTAGAGGTTCTGGTTTGTTAAACCCTACTAAACATGCTAGAGCTGATACAAGTTAGCTCCCAACAAGATAGACGGTCTTGGACTCTTGAACCTTCTGGTTTGTTCACATGTGAATCTTTCTTCACCTACCTCATCAACAATCCCAGTGATGCAAAATTCATATTGCCAATGTACTTTGGAAAGCTCTAGTTCCTTTGAAGATTAAGGTATTTTCATCGACTACCATCAACAAAGGCTCAAGATATTGTCCATCCCTAGTTTGCAAATGATAGTATGTCCGAGAAGAAGTATATGAATAGATATTGTCCATCTCTATTTTGTCTTAAAGCAAATATGTACTTGATCTATTTTTAGAAACCAAAAAGTAGGGAGGCAAGCCATGCATCATATAAATGGTGCCAAATATACATTTTACAAAAGATGATGGTAATCCCCTTGATGATTCGGAAAAATACAGGCAATTAATTAGGAGATTGAACTACCACATAGTGACTCGTCAAGATATTACACATACTGTCAGTGTTGCTAATCAATTTATGTCTGCACTTACAGTAAAAAATTGGAAGACTTTGGAACAGATTCTGTGTTACTTAAATTGAGCTCTGGGACTTGGTATATTGTTTAACAATCATGAGCGCACTTACATTGAATGGTTTGCAAATGCTAATTGGATCGGAAGTAAAATTGATAGAAGGTCCATTATATGTTATTATGTTTTTATTGGTGGAAACCTGCTATCATGGAGAAGTAAAAAGCAGACTGTTGATAATGTCTTAAAACGACATTATTATCACCCATTTTTGTGTTGTTAAACTTGATAGTATCTAATCTAATCTGAGTTATTTTTTATATTTTATTGCAGAACAGGATATAAGAACGAAACGAAAAAAAACAGTATGAAAAAATGAAGAGTTCGTGAAAAGAGTCATTAGCTCAGAAACAAACCTTGGGCAAGATTAGAGTCCAGCAAATAGACAACTTAGCCTTGGGCAAGGCTAAGAATCGCGCACAATAACAGATTTAAATTAAAACATGTACTTTCAAATCTACAAAAAGATATCATTTCAATCAAGATTTAGGATTGAAAATTAAGAAAAAAATATTATGATAAACTTGGGATAATACAAAAATAAAGGAAAAGGATCCTGATCAATAAAAGGAAAAAACCTTATCTTCTCTTCTATAAAGAGGGCGGCTGCCAAGCAGGTTCATCATCATTCTTCTTCCCGACACTACACAAAGCTTTAGCAGCAGATTCCACACTCTCTTTTCATCTTCTTCCTTCTCTTTGATAATAAAAAAACTTTTTCGTATTAAAATCCACCATGAGCGGCTAGTTTATTTCTTTTTCCAAACTGATAGATTTAGCAAACTTTAACAATGTATTTATGAAATTAAATCAAATTAATTTGAGCTTTATTTCAGATTTGTTATTTATTTATATCTTGCACCTATATATATTTGTTGGTTTGAATTCGTATGAACAAAACCTGTCATACGAGAAAATAAATGGTAAACAGCAAGCCGAACTCCTCAAATTCGTAATTATTTGAGTAGTTCTGGCAACTAGTAGTGATCAGTGCTGCACTGAGAAGGTAAGTCATCTAATTGACGGGTTCACGCGGATGAATCCGGCAACTTAAATCAAGTTCTTCTAACCCTTAAGGCCGTTGACAAATTAAATCCTGTGAATATTTTCAAAACTATTGGGCAGTGAAGAACCAGCTAACGAACATTTCTTAGTTGGTTTAAGAATAAGGAAAGACTGATTGTCAGAATGTTTCTAATAATTATAACTGATTTGCCATATTTTGGATAAAATAAATCCTTACATCTATGATTAACTACGTTACTTGAACTAACTATTTTATCGATTAGAATTCTTCTTATAATTATTTTATTTTCTAATTTGTAGTCAAGAATTTGTTTAATATTATTATGCTCATTGTTTATTTTATATTTTGCGTATTAAATTCTACAAAACTCCTCTTATCTGTTTTTTTCGTTGATGAAGGAAGAAAATTATTTTCTAATTCCTTGTGAATTTGATCATTCCTACCATACTACAATATTATTTTATTGGTTAATTAAGAATTTATTTTTTAGTAGATTTTACACCCATCAAATTTTAGTCATTGCTAGAGAATTGAGATTAGCTGATTTTTTTTTCTTTTTTGACCAGATCTGACTGTGGAGAGTCTTCTCTTTACGATCCAGAAATCGAGACAATCACAAAAGAGTTAAGAAAATAGACCCAACTAAAGAGAAGAACGTGTTAGCAGTACATGAGTTTTGCAGACAGAAGCATTGCCGTAGAAACCGAAACAGAAACTGAGCAGATGGCTGAAGAAAGCATCTTGAGGGAGCTAGCAGCACCGCCTACCAACCAGCAGCCCCTCTGCATCACTTGTCTAGATCTGGACGTAGCTTTCGAGCTGAAATCTGGTTTAATTCACTTGTTGCCCAAGTTATGAGGTTTAGAGAATGAAAACCAACACAACACCTCAAGAATTTCATGTCGTGTGCTCAAGCATGAAGTCGCACAGAGTGTCCAAAGAACAGATAAAATTAAGGGCATTCCCTTTTTCTTTGAATGATGTAGCCACTGATTAATTGTTTTACCTATCTTCCTAACCAATCACGACCTGAGTAGAGATGTTAAAAGCCTTCCTAGATTGTTTCTTTCCAGCATCTCGAGCAACTAGCATTAGAACAGAGATATGGGGAATCTGTTAAAGGGATTCTGAAAGCTTATATGATTATTAGGAAAGATTCAAGTGGTTGTGTGCAAGTTGCCTACAACATGATATCTTACAACAATCTCTCATTTACTATCTTTATGAAAGATTGCTGCGCACGGAAAGAACAATATTAGATGCAGCAAGTGGTGGTGCCATAGTGAACAAGACATCTCGAGAAGCTAGAGAATTGATAGTGATCATGCCATCACTTCGCAGTAGTTTAGGAACACGCAATACACCCCAAGAAGAGTGAATGAGATAAGTATTTCTTTTTTTGAATCTCAAATTTCAAATGTAACTACTATGGTGTAAAATATGATTGTGGGTAATACACAACAAGTTAGAGTTTACGAAAGTTGTGCGCAATTTGGACATCCTAAGTACATGTGTTCTACAGTTCAAAAAAATGACCAACAGCATGTCTATGCTATAGGA